GGGGGCGGGGGCGGGGCCTACGGGTCGGACTGCAAGACCTCACCTCGGCGCGTCCCAGCGACTTTTTTGGGTCTGTTTGTCGTCCAGCAGTACTGGATTCTTCACTTTTGGATTCCCTTGAATCTCTTTGGTGTCCTTTGAAGCCTAGCTAAGCAAAAAATTAGAGACCCATAGGTCCCTTATATTGGAATCGGAGCTTAAGTTGGGAAAGGTTGGCTTGAAAACGTTTTTGCGAGCGATGGAGGCGCGTCCTGCGATGAGGCGGGAGGAGCGCTGGGACCTGGTGGATGGGAAAGGGCGACGGTACAGGGGGGCGCTTGGATCCAGGAACTTCTGAGATCTGGACGATTAGAATTTTTATTTCATTAAGCGAAAGCTGGAGTTGTCTGCGTAGGTGATGATGGAAAGTAGAATGAGATGCATTTTTGTGCCTGTGCGGACTGTAAAATTTTATATTGACTTTCACTGGAACATAATTTTTGTTTCTGTTCCCCAGTCACCCAGGAGGCAGAGATGCATCGTGGGCTGAGTTCCAGAGAATTTATGGGATCAGACCCTGGGCTGTGGGGGTGGAAGGCTGAGGCTTGGCTTTAAAAGAACAAAAATTTCTGCTTGTATCGATATAAATTTATTTTCCTTTCTTTATTATTCTAATGCGCGCTTCTTGAGATAAATTACAAATCCAAGTACTGGATTTATTAGAGTTGGTATCTTGTGTTTTGCCTAAGTTATTAATTACTAATATAATATCGTTATTATTATTTTTATTATTATTTTGAGATGGAGTCTCTCTCTGTTTCCCAGGCTGGATTGTAATGGCGCCATCTCGGTTCACGGCAACCTGCGCCTCCTGGGTCAAGCGATTTTCCTGCCTCAGCCTCCCGAGTATCTGGGACTGCAGGCGTATGCCACCATGCCTGGCTAATTTTTGCATTTTTAGTAGAGACGGGGTTTCATCGTGTTAGCCAGGCTGGTCTGGGACTCCTGAGCTCATGTGATCCGCCCACCTGGGCCTCACGAAGTGCTGGGGTTATAGGCGTGAGCCACTGCTCCTGGCCTTTAGTTTGTAAAGTCTTTATTCTCAGTTATTCGGAAGACTATTTTTAACATAATATGTGTTTGGCAGTGCTCCTGGACAACTGAATTGATTTCTCTTGGCCCCGGAGAGGAAACTTGCTGACTGGAGGCTCCTCAAGAGGAGTCTATGTGGTGGTATCTGAGTAAACCAAGCCCTATCCACTGCTTCTTTGAGTCTCTGTTTTCGTAACTGGGAATTACATCTGATAATAGGTGAAGGGTGAAAAAATGAGAGTGTATTTTAGCATAAAAATACATATATATGTTATTTACATATAAACATACACATATAAAAATTCTATTTATTTTACATATAAAATCCATATATGTATTTAAATTTTTTTTTTTTTTTTTT